ATATATCCTTTAAAAATATATATTTCCCTTTATTACTTTCCAACCCCACCACCCCTTCCCTAATTGGAGTAAACTAGTGAACAACAATGCTTAGGCCTCTACTTCCAGCTTATACATACTATATACATTTTATGGACACAGTCAATTTTACAATAATTCTATTTTGTTTGTTTTTACTCATGAACTTCCTCTACCCTCAACCTCTCTGATCATTTTCATGATGTCCATCCGGTTTGCTTCTATATGCCATATCTTTCTAACTGTGCTCTTTCACAAAAGCTCTCAACCTATAACCTAAACACTTATTATGGACACAGCATGCTTTACATTAGTTATCTTGTTGTTATTAGTACATCTGCACATTTGACTTACTGCAAATTGAGAAATTATGTGACTAAACTTAACAAAAAGAAGAAGAAACTGTATTATGAAGCCAAGATCAATTATATAAAACTTTGGAGTACTTTAAATGAAATTATGGGCAGAAAGACAAATTAGACTCCATCTTTTATCGAATCAGATGGCTTATTCATCACAAAACCATTTGATGTTGCAAATTATTTGAATGATTACTTCATTGGCAAAGTGGGCAAACTTGCCAACAACAAACAGTGAGCCATCGTACTCATGTATAAAAAACTAATAATGAAAGAAAAGCATTGCAAGTTTGAATTTTGTAAAGTTATTGTGGGAGAGGTAGAAAAATTGTTATCGATCAATAATGACAAACCTCCTGGCATTGACAACTTAGATGGAAAGCTACTTAGGATGATAGCTGACTCTATAGCCACTCCTATCCCTCAGGCCTGGAGGGAAGCCAAAGTCATTCCGCTACCCAAAAGTGGTAAAGCGGCCTTTACTGGTTCTTACAGCAGACCTATCAGCTTGCTGCCAGCTCTTAGCAAACTGTTGGAAAAAATGTGTTTGACCAAATACAATGCTGCTTCTCTGTAAACAAATTAACAACAGACTTTCAGCATGCTTATAGAGAAGGGCACTCAACATGTACTGCAATGACACAAATGACTAATGATTGGTTGAAAGAACTTGATAATAAGAAGATTGTGGGAGCTGTACTGTTAGATTTCAGTGCAGCCTTTGATATTATTGACCATAACCTGTTGTTGAAAAAACATATGTGTTATGACTTTTCAACCTCTGCCATATTGTGGATTCAGAGCTATCTATCTATCTAATAGAACTAAGAGGGTTTTCTTTAATGGAAGCTTCTCTAATGTCAACATGTAAAGTGTGATGTACCGCAGGGCAGCTCTCTAGGCCCTCTACTCTTTTCTATCTTTACCAATGACCTGCCACTGGCATTATACAAAGCATGTGGCCATGTACGCTGATGATTCAACCATATACGCATCAGCAACCACAGTTAAGGAAGTCACTGAAACCCTTAACAAAGAGTTGCAGTCTGTTTTGGAATGGGTGGCCAGTAATAAACGGGTCCTGAACATCTCTAAAACTAACAGCATTGTATTTTATACAAATAATTCCCTAAGTCCTAGACGTCAGCTGAATCTGGTACTGAATGGTGTGGCAGTTGAAAAAGTTGAGGAGACTAAATTACTTGGTGTTACCTTAGATTGTAAACTGTCATGGTCAAAACATATAGATTAAATGGTTGTAAAGATGGGGGGAGGTCTGTCTGTGATAAAGAGATGCTCTGCTTTTTTGACACCACACTCCACAAAGCAAGTCCTGCAGGCTCTTGTTTTATCTTATCTTGATTATTGTCCAGTCATATGGTCAAGTGCTGCAAATAAAGACCTAGTTAAGCTGCAGCTTGTCCAGAACAGAGTGGCACGTCTTGCTCTTCATTGTAATCAGAGGGCTAATATTAATACTATGCATGCCAGTCTCTCTTGGCAAAGAGTTGAGGAAAGACTGACTGTGTCGCTTCTTGTTTTTATAAGAAGCATTAATGTGTTGGAAATTCCAAATTGTTTGCATAGTCAACTTACACACAGCACTGACACACACACTTACCCCACCAGACATGCCACCAACAAATTCAAGGAAACGTAAAGTATTAGACAGAGCCATGAGTGCATGGAACTCCCTTCCATTTTATATAGCGCAAGTGGACAGCAAACCTGGTTTAAAAAAACTAATAAAGCAACGCCTCACGGATGAAAGCCTCTCCCCCATGTGACCTAATTGTTGTGTGTATGTACTGACATGTATATGTAACTGATAGATGCACACACACACTACATGTTAATGTTTTTAAATGTATGTAAATTGTAAAGTATTTTGTCTGTAATGTATTTTTCGTTATATGTCGGACCCCAGTAAGACTAGCTGTCGCCATTGACGTCGGCTAATGGGGATCCTAATAAATCAAATAAAGTCTCCGGACTTGAAACCCATTGAAAACCTGTGGTTAAATTGAAGAGGGCAGTCCATAAGCGCAGACGAAGGATATCAACACAGACAATGCAATCGCCATCACTCTGCACACTGCCCTATCCCATCTGGACAAGAGGAATACCTATGTAAGAATGCTGTTCATTGACTATAGCTCAGCATTCAACACCATAGTACCCTCCAAGCTCATCATTAAGCTTGAGGCCCTGGGTCTGAACCCCGCCCTGTGCAACTGGGTCCTGTACTTCCTGACGGGCCACCTCCAGGTGGTGAAGGTAGGAAACAGCACCTCCACTTCGCTGATCATCAACACTGGGGCCCCACAAGGGTGCGTGCTCAGCCCACTCCTGTACTCCCTGTTCACCCATGACTGCGTGGCCAAGCACGCCTCCAACTCAACAGTAGTAGGCTTGATTACCAACAATGACGAGACAGCCTACAGGGAGGAGGTGAGGGCTCTGGGAGTGTGGTGCCAGGAAAATAACTTCTCACTCAACGTCAACAAAACAAAGGAGATTATCATGGACTTCAGGAAACAGCAGAGGGTGCAGCCCCCTATCCACATCGACGGGACCGCAGTGGAGAAGGTGGAAAGCTTCAAGTTCCTTGGCGTACACATCACTGACAAACTGAAATGGCCCACCCACACAGACAGTGTGGTGAAGAAGGCGCAACAGAGCCTCTCAACCACAGGAGGCTAAAGAAATTTGGCTCAGTACAGGTGCATCAAAGCTGAGACCGAGTGAAAAATAGCTTCTATCTCAAGGTCATCAGACTGTTAAACAGTCATCACTAGCACATTAGAGGCTACTGCCTATAGACATAAACTAGAAATCACTGGCCACTTTAAGAAATGGAACACTAGCCACTTAATGTTTACATATCTTGCATTACTCATCTCATATATATATATATATATATATATATATATACTGTATTCTATACTATTCTATGGTATCTTAGTCACTTTAATAATGTTTACATATCTTGCGTTACTCATCTCATACAGTGGGGAGAACAAGTATTTGATACACTGACGATTTTGCAGGTTTTCCTACTTACAAAGCATGTAGAGGTCTGTAATTTTTATCATAGGTACACTTCAACTGTGAGAGACATAATCTAAAAAAAAAAATCCAGAAAATCACATTGTATGATTTTTAAGTAATTAATTAGCATTTTATTGCATGACATAAGTATTTGATCACCTACCAACCAGTAAGAATTCCGGCTCTCACAGACCTGTTAGTTTTTCTTTAAGAAGCCCTCCTGTTCTCCACTCATTACCTGTATTAACGGCACCTGTTTGAACTCATTACCTGTATAAAAGACACCTGTCCACACACTCAATCAAACAGACTCCAACCTCTCCACAATGGCCAAGACCAGAGAGCTGTGTAAGGACATCAGGGATAAAATTGTAGACCTGCACAAGGCTGGGATGGGCTACAGGACAATAGGCAAGCAGCTTGGTGAGAAGGCAACAACTGTTGGCGCAGTTATTAGAAAATGGAAGAAGTTCAAGATGACGGTCAATCACCCTCGGTCTGGGGCTCCATGCAAGATCTCACCTCGTGGGGCATCAATGATCATGAGGACATATGTATGCCCTTACTGCCCTTCTATCTGACCTGGCTGTGAGGCTGCGAGCTGTATCAGCAATATAGAGGCCGTTGAGTTGCAGAGTTGCAGTCAGAAGGAGGTTGGGTGAGGGGGTACTGGGGCCAGACCTATCAGTCCCTTTTATACAGTCATGATTGAAAAGTACATCTAGATTTGGCTTCTTAAAATAAACTGTCTGAGGGAATGCCTTTGATAAATGCACGCATATGGAAAGAGATGAGATGGTCCATGTAGCAGCAATCAAAGTGCCTGTCTGGTGTTGGTCGACTCCTTTTACACGCACACATACAGTACACGCACACACCATGTCTTGAACGCATTTTAAATGTGTTCCCAGCCAGAGTACTAGTGTTGCCTGAGGGTTGGTTGGTTTGTTACCTGTCTGGTGGTGCTGTGCTGGTTGAGCCCCGGCTGGGTCTTCGCTCGGTTCCCACAGTCCCGAACCTGAACCTGGGCTGAGAGGAAAGCTCATAAACACACCATCCCCCCTACAAAGGTCTGGACCTGAGCTCTGGGCCCAGCGGCCCCAGCCACACATCTGCCTCTGCTTAGCTAGGCTGAGGTTCCCCTCAATCGTCCACCCCACACACCTGGGAATCATTACAGCCAGCTCAGCGTGTTTGAAGAAATACCCTCCCCAGAGTTACTCAAGCACAGGCATGCAAGGCACCGCCACCGCTTTGATATACTGGCTGGCAGAGCAGGAGGGTTGAATAGCCCAGGTCTGGATGCTTTTTGTTGTTTTGAGGCAATCTGAATTCAGCTCAACTGGGTTATTTGTTTAAAAGACAGACGTAATTTGTATTTCCAAGTTCTGCACTAAAAAAAGTCACTAGATGTTAACTCTTTTTTAATTTCTGCAGATTTTCTGTAACTGTTTGACAAGTGCTAGTATGTGTCGATCATTAGAGATGCTATCATTTTAACGTACACTCATGTCCCCCTCACCAAGCCCCTGAATGTTGTGATTGCAGGTCTACTTTGACTGTGGAGCGAAGATGGATGTGGTGGATGTCCAAGGCCTCATCCTGTCTCCTGGTTTCCCCTATAACTACTCCTCAGGGACCCACTGTGTCTGGCAGTTCTTTGTGCCCGTCGGCCACCAGCTCATGCTGGAGATATTTGACTTTGATGTGTTCGAGAGTCACGAATCCGCGGCCCAATATGCTGCCATCTCTGACTTGGAAGAGGACGATGCTGAGGCTGACGATGGGGCAACTATCCCACCTGGGGGTCCCATCACAGATAAAGATGCCACCGTATCTCAGGCTCAGAGGGTCACAGCGAAAGCCCCCCGGTCCTCCTCCCAAAACGACAAGGTCATGCAGGTGGTGGTGCAAGAGCAGTCCACCAAGATGGAGATAGCCAAAGTCTCCAACTCTGCTAAAAGGTCCACCTCCGATGCCACCTCTGACCATGCCTCCCCGCAGCCCCTCCCAGACCTCCTCCTACCAGGGGCCCATGTACCAGGAGAGAAGGCAATGAACTCAATCACCTCTCCTCTCCTCAGAGGCAACACTGACCTTAACCCTAACCCCAGAGCATCAGCCCCAGACCAAGTCCTGGCTGTGGTTGTAGACGAGGCCACCACTCAGACCCCTCTGCTCCCCACAGACACAGACACAGAGTCAGTGAGCCCTGAGACCCAGCAGTCTGTGGTGGACGCCTGCCCCCACGACGTCCTCTACATCTCGGACCTCCTCACCTTCTCCTCGCGCTTCTGCGGCTCCAACCGGCCCTCCAGCAACCAGCTGGTGTTTGGCTCCAGCCAGGAGATGGTAGAGGTCATCATGGAGTTGATCACCACCACCCACTGGGGCCGCGGCTTCGCCCTGCTCTTTTACTACCACAACCGGACAGAACCAGGTGGAGATGACCCCCGGCATGCCTACGCCCCTACTGCGGCCAGCAAAATAGACTCTCTGCTGGCTGCCATGAGTGGAGCAGCCTTCTTTGCCATGGTGCTCACCAGCGCTCTGTGTATCATATTCAGGTATGTAAAAGCATGCAGAGAGCGTTATTGTGATATGATATCCCTTTGTTACACACGTGTTGTGCTATACATAGGTTTCCCTGACTACCTGAGATCAAACCAGCGCCTGAAAGAATTGTGCCAGAACATATCCTTTTGTCCTACACGCTTTGTAATGGCTTTCCCTATTGACTCCCAGAGACATAATGTTCTCAAGCATAAACAAACAAGACAGTGCACAATGGGAATGACTGTCCCTTTATGAACCTTGTGGGTCACCTGTGCAACATCTTCAGGTACATTAAAGCAAGGCATGCAGAAAGAATGGAGTCATAAAGATACCTTTGTCAAACATGTTTTGTGCTATAAATACATTTCCCTGACAACCTGAGACAAGCATAAACATAAACAAGACCGTGCACATTCTGCACAATGGGAAGAATTGTCCTTTTATGACCCTCTTGGGTCTTAATTTCCTTGGAAACTGGCACAGTGCTTTTCCTTTGAGATGGCACAACTGTTGGGTCTTTGATGTTGGCCAGTGTGACGAAGTTTCCTCCCATGAATGAGATGGTAGCCGTGAATGGGATAGTTTGCCAGTCAGTCCTCCTCCAGCACACAGTGTGCTGCTACTGCTGTGGATGGGCTGGCTGTTGCCTCAACTGGAGGCCTTGGTCAGTCCCTGATTCACACACAGGTTATTGAGAATAACCAATAATATATTTCTACTGTACAACCCATTTCACAGAGCTGTATTGTGGTACAGTATATCATAAAGTATTGTGTGTATTTTCATTTTTTAAACAGCAACAAATTCTGTTGTCAAAAAAAGAGTGCTTTCAAGTTGAGTTGGGTTGACTAGATTGAGGAGAATTTGCATAGAGATGTTTATCTTTATGGGAATTTGAACCTTCCTGGAGGGAACTAGAGAGGTGAATCAGGCCAGTAGATTAAACGGTGATGCTCATTTAGTCACCCGGCATGGATGATATTACACCCTGCGAAAACTGATACTGATGCTAATGTTGTCTCCTCATGGGATCGACCGAGGGAACAACCTGTAAATTACACCTTTTGATATGTTGTTCTTGTTCTACTAAACAACCACAATGGCACCTAGACGGGACAGTGGCTCACAGCACAGCAGCACGAGGTTCTCCGCTCTCCTTGTTTTCCCTCGGCTCGCTTTTGTATGGCTGTGTTTCTCTGTCCATTGGAATCGATGCCAGGTGCTGCACCTCGAACGGCCCTCTCTCGCTCACGCTCTCATACCCATAATTGAGGACTGGATAATATCAACATAACAGTGAGTGTCCTTTGAGCACAATAAGCCCATTAGTACAGTTCTTACTTCTTGCTGTTAATGAAAGGGAAATTGAAAACACACTTCTAATAAAATGAAAGACTTCCAGGAACAACAACACATGCATAAAACATGATCAGGAAGCCAAGGAGGGCATTGCCATCATGCATAAAATAGCCATGCATGGTTAGAGAAATCCCCCATGCATGTTTGAGAGAAGTTACAGTTGTATTAGTCTCGTCCTGGGGCCATGTTTTTAATTGTGCCAAAAATGTATACACAAAAGCATTTAGATCTCAGTTATTGAACATAATCACTTTAAGTCAACACTTTCACTGTTATGTTGATATTATCCAGTCCTCAATTATGGGTATGCAATTATACTGATGCCTTTATAGTGAGACCACCCCAGATAGTGTAGTTTATGGCATTACATGGGTTTAGCTACTAGAGCCGTCCTTGAGAGAAACAACCTGGGGCAAGTTTAGGCTGTTTGTATGTAGTGAGTCAGCTAGCTAGACTCTGATTATGTTTGTAAGAAGAACTTCAGTGAAGGCAATCTATTCTGTTCCAGTTTCTAATTGTGGGAGAATGTTGATTTTGTACATTTTCTTTGTCAAATTTGGAGAGCAGTTGCTCTAAATAAGACAAGCTTTCACAAATAGCATGAAAGAAAATGTCGCCAAAAGTCAAGAAAGTAAACAACATGCATAAAAGAAAGGATGCTAATGGTTTTCAAAGATATGTTAAACAGTCAAAAAACGCATAACTGAAATGTTGTGGCTCTTTTTTGTTTTCCAGACCTAAACTATGTCCGAAAAGAGCCAGTTCCTGCTCATCCAACAACTCTGAGGTAAACGGATAAAGACCCCTGTCTGTCTGGACATTCCTTTGTAGGCTAACTTCTGACTGGGATCAGGGAACATTTCCTTCATATCCTCTAGACCAGGGATGGGCAATTTTGAAGGGGGTTGGTGCCACAAAAAATCAGCAGTGGCTCGCGGGTCTGCGTACCCACATCCATACCCACACACGCAGTCAGAGCCAGTCCTAGCCTTATGGGGGCCCTAAGTAAAAATGTGCAGTTTTACAGCTAATTTCCTGCAATTCTAAGCATTATATCTGAGTGAGAGTGACTAACAAAATCATTGGGGGCCTCCTCAGTTGGTAATTCGACCATGATTACAAAGTTTAGATAGCTGGCTAGACTAATTTACCAATAAATTAATTAATTGCTGACATGGGCTGAGTGATTATATATATATATATATATATATATATATATATATATATATATATATATATATATATATATATATATATATATATAAATAATTACAGAATATCAGCTGACTGCTTCTTCCCTTAATAGTTATTGCATAGTTTGGAGCTGTGCTTTGGGTCATTGTCCTGTTGTAGGTGGAAATTGGCACCAATCAAGCGCCGTCCACAGGGTATGGGATGGCGTTGCAAAATGGAGTGATAGCCTTCCTTCTTCAAGATCCCTTTTACCCTGTACAAATCTCCCACTTTACCACCACCAAAGCACCCCCAGACCATCACATTGTCTCCACCATGCTTGACAGACTGCATCAAGCACTCCTCCAGCATCTTTTCATTTGGTCTGTGTCTCACAAATGTTATTCTTTGTGATCCGAACACCACAAACTTTGATTCGTCTGTCCATAACACTTTTTTCCAATCTTCCTCTGTCCAGTGTCTGTGTTCTTTTGTCAATCTTAATCTTTTCTTTTTATTGGCCAGTCTAAGATATGGCTTTTTCTTTGCAACTCTGCCTAGAAGGTCAGCATCCCGGAGTCGCCTCTTCACTGTTGACGTTGAGACTGGTGTTTTGCGGGGTACTATTTAATGAAGCTGCCAGTTGAGGACCTGTGAGGCGTCTGTTTCTCAAACTAGACACTAATGTATTTGTCCTCTTGCTCAGTTGTGCACCGGGGCCTCCCACTCCTCTTTCTATTCTGGTTAGAGCCAGTTTGCACTGTTCTATGAAGGGAGTAGTACACAGCGTTGTACAAGATCTTCAGTTTCTTGGCAATTTCTCGCATGGAATAGCCTTCATTTCTCAGGACAAGAATAGACTGAAGAGTTTCAGAAGAAAGTTCTTTGTTTCTGGCCATTTTGAGCCTGTAATTGAACCCACAATTGCTGATGCTCCAGATACTCAACTAGTCTCAAGAAGGCCAGTTTTATTGCTTCTTTAATAAGCACAACAGTTTTCAGCTGTGCTAACATAATTGCAAAAGGGTTTTCTAATGATCAATTAGCCTTTTAAAATGATAAACTTGGATTAGCAAACACAACGTGCCATTGGAACACTGGTTGCTGATAATGGGCCTCTGTACGCCTATGTAGATATTCCATTAAAAATCAGCCATTTCCAGCTACAATAGCAATTTACAACATTAACAATGTCTACACTCTGATCAATTTGATGTTATTTTAATGGACCAAAAAATTTCTTTCGAAAACAAGGACATTTCAAAGTGACCCCAAACTTTTGAACGGTAGTGTATGTATGTATATATATATATATATATATATATATATATATATATATATATACAGTACCAGTCAAAAGTTTGGACACACCTACTAATTCCAGTTTTTTTTTTTTTTTTTTACTATTTTCTACATGGTAGAATAATAGTGAAGACATCAAAACTATGAAATAACACATATGGAATTATGTAGTAACCAAAAAGGTGTTAAACAAATGAAAATATATTTTATATTTGAGATTCTTCAAATAGCCACCCTTTGCCTTGATGACAGCTTTGCACACTCTAGGCATTCTCTCAACCAGCTTCACCTGGAATGCTTTTCCAACAGTCTTGAAGGAGTTCCCACATATGCTGAGCACTTGTTGGCTGCTTTTCCTTCACTCTGCCGTCCGACTCATCCCAAACCATCTCAATTGGGTTGAGGTCGGGGGATTGTGGAGGCCAGGTCATCTGATGCAGCACTCCATCACTCTCCTTCTTGGTAAAATAGCCCTTACACAGCCTGGAGGTGTGTTGGGTCATTGTCCTGTTGAAAAACAAATTATAGTCCCACTAAGCCCAAACCTGATGGGATGGCGTATCGCTGCAGAATGCTGTGGTAGCTATGCTGGTTAAATGTGCCTTGAATTCTAAATAAATCACTGACAGTGTCACCAGCAAAGCACCCCCACACCATAACACCTCCTCCTCCATGCTTTACGGTGGGAACTACACATGCGGAGATCATCCGTTCACCCACACTGCGTCTCACAATGACACAGCGGTTGGAACCAAAAATCTTCAATTTCGACTCCAGACCAAAGGACAAATTTCCACCGGTCTAATGTCCATTGCTCGTGTTTCTTGTCCCAAGCAGGTCTCTTCTTATTATTGGTGTCCTTTAGTAGTGGTTTCTTTGAAGCAATTCAACCATGAAGGCCTGATTCACACAGTCCCCTCTGAACAGTTGATGTTGATGTGTCTGTGACTTGAACTCTGTGAAGCATTTATTTGGGCTGCAATTTCTGAGGCTGGTAACTCTAATGAACTTATCCTCTGCAGCAGAGGTAACTCTGGGTCTTCCATTCCTGTGAGAGACAGTTTCATCATAGCGCTTGATGGTTTTTGCAACTGCACTTGAAGAAACGTTCAAAGTTCTTGAAATGTTCCGTATTGACTGACCTTCATGTCTTAAAGTAATGATGGACTGTCGTTTCTCTTTGCTTATTTGAGCTGTTCTTGCCATAATATGGACTTGGTCTTTTACCAAATAGGGCTATCTTCTGTATATCCCCCCTACCTTGTCACAACACAACTGATTGGCTCAAACACATTAAGAAGGAAAGAAATTCCACAAATTAACCTTTAAGAAGGCACACCTGTTAATTGAAATGCATTCCAAGTGACTACCTCATGAAGCTGGTTGAGAGAATGTCAAGCGTGTGCAAAGCTGTCATCAAGGCAAATGGTGGCTCCTTTGAAGAATCTCAAATATAAAATATATTTTGATTTGTTTAACACTGTTGGTTACTACATGATTCCATATGTGTTATTTAATAGTTTTGATTTCTTCACTATTATTCTACAATGTAAAAAATAGTAAAAATAAAGAAAAACACTGGAATGAGTAGGTGTGTCCAAACTTTTGACTGGAACTATATATATATATATATATTTACTGAACAGAAATATAAACACAACATGCAACAATGTCAAAGATTTTTCTGAGTTACAGTTCATGTAAGGTAATCAGTCAATTGAAATAAATTAATTAGGCCCTAATCTATGGATTTAACATGACTGGGCAGGGGCACAGCCATGGGTGGGCCTGGGAGCGCATAGGCCCACCCACAATCAGAATGAGTTTTTCCCCACAAAAGGGATTAATTACTTACAGAAATACTCCTCAGCACCCTGACCCACCTGCCCTCAGACGATCCCGCAGGTGAAGAAGCCGGATGTGGAGGTCCTGGTTACACGTGGTCTGCTGTTGTGAGGCCGGTTGGACGTACTGCCAAATTCTCTAAAACGACGTTGGAGGCGGTTTTGGTAGAGAAATTAACATTCAATTATCTGGAAACAGCTCTGGTGGACATTCCTGCAGTCAGCATTCCAATTGCACGGTCCCTCAAAACTTGAGACATCTGTGGCATTGTGTTGCATGACAAAACTGCACATTTTAGAGTGGCCTTGTATTGTCCCCAGCACAAGGTGCACCTGTGTAATGATCATGCTGTTTAATCAGCTTCTTGATATGCCGCACCTGTCAGGTGGATGGATTGTCTTGACAAAGGATAAAACGCTAACTAACAGGGATGTTAACAAATTTGTGCACAACATTTGAGAGAAACAAGCTTTTTGTGCGTATGGAACATTTCTGGGATCTTTTATTTCAGCTCATGAAACATGGGACCAGCACTTTACATGTGGCGTTTATATTTTTGTTCAGTGTATTTATTTATTTTTCTAATTGCACCTTGGGTATTCTACTATTCTAACTCTCAACAGTAAGTTGAGACCGCGACTGAGTTCTTAAAAATAAAAATCCCCCACCCCAAAAAAAATATTTTGGGGGGGGGAATTGATCCGTGGGCCTACAAAAGGTGGGCCATGCGGCCCGCCAGTTGCCAATCCCTGCTCTAAACTACAGACACTGGAGCAAATACAAATACCCTACACTGGCCTGGTGCTCTTGTTGTCCAACTTCTCCCACGCAAGGCAGGCAGCCCCAGATGTAGACAGGTTCACTAAAGGTCAGACTGACTAACACCCATAAAGCAGAACTGGACAAGTTACGTTTCCCTATTTTCTAGTCATGAGATGAATTTGTCATTGAGGTGTCAAAATGTGTCCATCTGGGATTGAACTTTAGTGTGCTAAAAAAAGAAGAAAAACAGTCCTACACAAGTTCTGGCCACTTTAAGCATCTTATTGCCACTAGATAATAATAATAATAATAATAATAGGCCATTTAGCAGACGCTTTTATCCAAAGCGACTTAGATCATTATACCGACTGGTTATCAAAACATTTGATTAATTGACGAGAACAACTTCAGTTCATATGGCTGTATTTCATAGTGTTGTGCAGCCCTACTCCGTTGGTGTATGTGGAGTGGTAGGTTTGTGTAGTAGTACTTGCTGACTCTAAACTGTACTGACTGCTGTAGGTGCAGGAGGGAGTGCAGAACTCTGGAGCTGATGTCCGTGAACTGCAGCTGGTGACTCCTAATCAGCCCGGCCTGGAGGTCCCTGGCCCTGCAGAGAACGACAACAACAACCACTCTCTCAGCCTCACACACAGAGGTGGGTATACGCACGTGGGCAGGCTCACGCGCACACACACACACAAAACACACACACTCCATCTACTTTCTCTCTCCCTCTAACACTCCCCTGTTTTTCCCTCTCTGCTTGTGCTCCAGCCGCCTAGCCTAGTCTAGTCAATCCCCTCGCTCCGCCTGCCCTGCGCCCCGTCTCTTTCTCTCTCCATGATCGAGGGGTTGACAATGACTTTATCTGCCCCTAAACTGAACTTACATGTTCAGCGTAAATGGGACACTTATTTCATTACGCTCTGAAACTATGACCGAAAAATGGTACACTGGGTCTGACTGTCAGACCTCCAAAACATAGTAATAGAGCTGGCAGGATTCTACCACATACTGAATTATCTCATGGTCTCATGGCCATATAATGGCTCTAAATCAGGGGTGTGAAACATACGTCCCGCAAGGGGGTCCAATCTGGCCCGTGGGTGGTTTAAAAATGTTTATTTTTGGGGGGCGGGAGGAAACAAAGTCGATATACTTTCAAATGACTAAAACCAAATCAAAATTATAATGGACCTACATTAATAAAGTTTCTTGACTGTGTCCAGTTTGCTAATAAACACCTTAATAAAAGCTAGACAGTCAAAGCATCGAAAATTCAAAAATCTATGGATAGAGGACAATTATTTAGCAAATTTTGACAGCAAGGAAATATAACACATTTTCAGTATGTCCCTCTGAACCTTGTTGAATACCGAATGTGGCCCCCGGGGCGTACTTTACTACGCTTTTTGATCAGCTCTGTGTCATGCGCCTGACTTCGCCTACCGCATTACACTGACGCCTTGACAGAAACACGCACATAATATGGAGTCAGCAGGTACAGCAATGCCAGCCGGATCGATGGAGGAACGCGTCCAACAACAAGCGGCCATAATCCAGGCTCTCGGCACCGCTATGGAACGAGTGGTTAATACAATGGAGCGATGGGAGAGAGGAGGTATCCCTATACCTCCTCCAATTACACCACCACCAACACCGCTGTCCACCTCTTCACCATCTGGGTCCAGTGGGATTCGGCTCTCGCTCCCGAGGGCTTATGACGGTACAGCTGCCGGGTGTCAGGGTTTTCTGCTCCAGGTAGAGCTCTACCTGGCAACCATCCACCCGGCTCCCTCGGGATACAAGAGCGTGTCCGCCCTCATCTCCTGTCTGTCCGGTAAGGCGCTCGAGTGGGCCAACGCCGAGTGGGGGGGAATAGATGCCACAACTGTAAGCTATGCAGAGTTTACCCGCCGCTTTAGGGCGTTATTCGATCATCCACCAGAGGGGAGAGCGGCGGGTGAGCGTCTATTCCACCTCAGACAGGGGAAGAGGAGCGCGCAGGAGTTTGCACTGGACTTTCGGACTCTGGCTGCCAGCGCAGGATGGAATGAGAGGGCCCTCATCGACCACCACCGTTGCAGCTTAAGGGAGGACTTTCGTCAGGAACTGGCCTGCAGGGACACCAACCTAAACCTGGATCAACTGGTGGATATGTCAATCCGACTGGATAACCTGGTGGCCACCCGCGGACGTCCGGATCAGGGGCCGTCCATTCCATCCCCCAGCACCTCCGACCCTACCCCTATGGAGCTCGGAAGTGCTGCTCTGAGGGAGACCGGTAGAGGGGCCGTCCCCTGCACCAACTGTGGCCGCTGAGGACACACTGCTGGTCGGTGCTGGGGAGGGCCTTCAAGGAGTCGAGGCAGTAGGCAGAGCACTGGTGGACTGTTTCAGGTGAGTAGGCACCCAACTCACCCAGAGCTCCCTGTTGCGCATATGTGTATAGATGTTGTATTTCCAGAGTTTTCTTCTCATTCCCAGCATAAGGCGCTAGTAGATTCAGGCGCAGCTGGGAACTTTATTGATCGTCAGTTTACCCGTAGGTTAGGGATTCCTATTGTGCCCGTTGATGTGCCCTTCCCTATACATGCCCTAGATAGTCGCCCTTTAGGGTCAGGTCTGATTAGGGAGGTCACAGCTCCACTCTGGATGAAGACGCAGGAGGGGCATGAGGAAACAATTTGTCTATATCTGATTGATTCTTGGGGCTTCCCTGGTTAACCTCTCATGACCCCACTATTTCATGGCAACAGAGGGCTCTCAAGGGATGGTCTAGTCAGTGCTCGGGGAGGTGTGTAGGTGTTTCCGTAGGGGCAACTACGGTGGAAAGTCCAAACCAGGTTTCCACCATGCACATTCCGCCTGAATATGCCGATTTGGGCTCTCGCCTTCTGTAAAAAGAAACCTCCAGGTAGGGGCTGCGCTTCCCCGGAGTCACGTGTATCCTCTGTCACAGGAGGAGACGGCGGCTATGGAGACATATGTCACCGAATCTCTGAGGCAAGGATACATCCGGCCTTCCACTTCCCCTGTTTAATCGAGTTTCTTTTTCGTGAAGAAGAAGGATGGTGGCTTACACCCGTGCATTGACTACCGTGGTCCTATTCAGATCACTGTAAAATACAGCTATCCACTACCTCTGATTGCTAGTATGACGGAGTCATTGCACGGGGCGCGCTTCTTCACGAAATTGGATCTCAGAAGCGCGTACAACCTGGTGCGTATCCGGGAGGGAGTTGAGTGGAAGACAGCATTCAGTACCACCTCTGGTCACAATGAGTACCTCGTCATGCCATACGGTTTGATGAATGCTCCATCAGTCTTCCAATCCTTTGTTGATGAGATTTTCAGGGACCTGCACGGACAGGGTGTAGTGGTGTATATAGATGACATTCTCATATACTCCGCTACACGGGCCGAGCATGTGTCCCTGGTGCGTCAGGTGCTTGGTCGACTGTTGGAGCATGACCTGTATGTGAAGGCGGAGAAATGTCTGTTCTTCCAAGAGTCCATCTCCTTCCTAGGACACCGCCTATCCGCGTCAGGTGTGGAGATGGAGATTGACCACATTTCGGCCGTGCGTAATTGGCCGACTCCAACCACGGTGAAGGAGGTGCAGCGATTCTTGGGTTTTGCCAACTACTACCGGAGGTTTATCCAGGGCTTTGGTCAGGTAGCGGCTCCCATTATCTCCTTGCTGAAGGCAGGACCGGTGCGTCTACAGTGGTCAGCTGAGGCAGACAGGGCTTTTGGTCATCTGAAGGACCTGTTTACTTCGGCTCCAGTGCTGGCTCATCCGGATCCCTCCTTGGCATTCCAGGTTGAGGTGGACGCGTCCGAGGCTGGGATAGGAGCTGTACTGTCTCAGCGCTCGGGTACGCCACCGAGGTTCGCGATCGATTTATCTATTGGGCTCACACGTCACCCTCCTCTGGTCATCCTGGCATCGGTCGGACAGTGCACTGTCTTAGTGGGAAGTACTGGTGGCCCACTTTAGCCAAGGACGTGAGGGTTTATGTTTCCTCCTGCTCGGTGTGCGCCCAGTGTAAGGCACCTAGACACCTGCCCAGAGGGAAGTTACAACCCCTACCCGTTCCACAACGGCCGTGGTCCCACCTATCGGTGGATTTTGTTACGGACCTTCCTCCCTCACAAGGGAACACCACGATCCTGGTCGTTGTGGATCGGTTTTCTAAGTCCTGCCGTCTCATTCCTATGCCAGGTCTCCCTACAGCCCTACAAACTACTGAGGCCCTATTTACACACGTCTTCCGGCACTACGGGGTACCTGAGGATATTGTGTCGGATCGGGGTCCCCAGTTCACCTCAAGGGTCTGGAGGGCCTGACCTCAGGTTTTCACCCCGAGAGTAATGGGCAGGTGGAAAGAGTCAACCAGGATGTGGGTAGGTTTCTGCGGTCATATTGCCAGGACCGGCAGGGGGAGTGGTCAGCTTATATCCCCTGGGAAGAGATGGCCCAAAACTCACTCCGCCACTCCTCTACTAACCTTACTCCTTTCCAGTGTGTGTTAGGTTATCAGCCGGTCCTGGCACCTTGGCATCAGAGCCAGATCGAGGCTCCTGCGGTGGATGAGTGGTTTCGGCGCTCGGAAGAGACCTGGAACGCTGCTCATGTACACCTGCAGCGGGCCATCAGGCGAAAAAAGGCGAACGCCGATCGCCACCGCAGTGAGGCCCCGGTGTATGCACCGGGGGACCGGGTCTGGCTCTCGACCCGAAACCTGCCCCTTCGCCTGCCCTGCCAGAAACTGGGTCGGCGGTTTGTGGGGCCATTTAAAGTCCTGAGGAGATTGAACGAGGTTTGTTATAGGTCAAATCAAATCAAATCAAATTTTATTGGCCACATGCACCGAATACAACAGGTGCAGACATTACAGTGAAATGCTTACTTACAGCCCTTAACCAACAGTGCATTTATTTTAAATAAAAAAGTAGAATAAAACAACAAAAAAGTGTTGAGAAAAAAAGAGCAGAAGTAAAATAAAATAACAGTAGGGAGGCTATATATACAGGGGGGATACCGGTGCAGAGTCAATGTGCGGGGGCACCGGCTAGTTGAGGTAGTTGAAGTAATATGTACATGTGGGAAGAGTTAAAGTGACTATGCATAAATACTTAACAGAGTAGCAGCAGCGTAAAAAGATGGGGTGGGGGGGGGGCAGTGCAAATAGGCCAGGTAGCCATGATTAGCTGTTCAGGAGTCTTATGGCTTGGGGGTAGAAGCTGTTGAGAAGTCTTTTGGACCTAGACTTGGCACTCCGGTACCGCTTGCCGTGCGGTAGCAGAGAGAACAGTCTATGACTAGGGTGGCTGGAGTCTTTGACAATTTTGAGGGCCTTCCTCTGACACCTCCTGGTATAGAGGTCCTGGATGGCAGGAAGCTTGGCCCCAGTGATGTACTGGGCCGTACGCACTACCCTCTGTAGTACCTTGCGGTCGGAGGCCAAGCAGTTGCCATACCAGGTGGTGATGCAACCAGTCAGGATGCTCTCGATGGTGCAGCTGTAGAGGTTTTTGAGGATCTGAGGACCCATGCCAAATCTTTTCAGTCTCCTGAGGGGGAATAGGCTTTGTCGTGCCCTCTTCACGACTGTCTTGGTGTGTTTGGACCATGATAGTTTGTTGGTGATGTGGACACTAAGGAACTTGAAGCTCTCAACCTGTTCCACTACAGCCCCGTCGATGAGAATGGGGGCGTGCTCAGTCCTCTTTTTTTTTCCTGTAGTCCACAATCATCTCCTTTGTCTTGGTCACGTTGAGGGAGAGGTTGTTATCCTGGCACCACACGGCCAGGTCTCTGACCTCCTCCCTATAGGCTGTCTCATCGTTGTCGGTGATCAGGCCTACCACTGTTGTTTTGTCGGCAAACTTAATGATGGTGTTGGAGTCGTGCATGGCCATGCAGTCATGGGTGAACAGGGAGTACAGTAGGGGACTGAGCACGCACCCCTGAGGGGCCCCCGTGTTGAGGATCAGTGTGGCAGATGTGTTGTTACCTACCCTTACCACCTGGGGGCGGCCCGTCAGGAAGTCCAGGATCCAGTTGCAGAGGGAGGTGTTTAGTCCCAGGATCCTTAGCTTAGTGTTGAGCTTTGAGGGCACTATGGTTTTGAATGCTGAGCTGTAGTCAATTAATAGCATTCTCATGTAGGTGTTCCTCTTGTCCAGGTGGAAAAGGGCAGTGTGGAGTGCAATAGAGATTGCATCATCTGTGGATCTGTTGGGGCGGTATGCAAATTGGAGTGGGTCTAGGGTTTCTGGGATAATGGTGTTGATGTGAGCCATGACCAGCCTTTCAAAGCACTTCATGGCTACAGACGTCAGTGCTACGGGTCGGTAGTCATTTAGGCAGGTTATCTTAGAGTCCTTGGGCACAGGGACTATGGTGGTCTGCTTGAAACATGTTAGTATTACAGACTCAGTGAGGGACATGTTGAAAATGTCAGTGAAGACACTTGCCAGTTGGTGAGCACATGCTCGGAGTACACGTCCTGGTAATCCATCTGGCCCTGCGGCCTTGTGAACATTGACCTGCTTAAAAGTCTTACTCACATCGGCTACGGAGAGCGTGATCACATAGTCATCCGGAACAGCTGGTGCTTTCATGCATGCTTCAGTGTTGCTTGCCTCGAAGCGAGCATAGAAGTGGTTTAGCTCGTCTGGAAGTCTTGTGTCATTGGGCAGCTCACGGCTGTGCTTCCCTTTGTAGTCTGTAATAGTTTTCGATCCCTGCCACATCCGACGAGCGTCAGAGCCGGTGTAGTACGATTCAATCTTAGTCCTGTATTGACTCTTTGCCTGTTTGATGGTTCGTCGGAGGGCATAGCGGGATTTCTTATAAGCGTCCGGGTTAGAGTCCCGCTCCTTGAAAGCGGCAGCTCTACCCTTTAGCTCAGTGCGGATGTTTCCTGTAATCCATGGCTTCTGGTTGGGGTATGTACGTACGGTCACTGTGGGGACGACATCATCGATGCACTTAATGATGAAGCCAGTGACTGATGTGTTGTACTCCTCAATGCTATCTGAAGAATCCCGGAACATGTTCCAGTCTGTGCTAGCAAAATAGTCCTGTAGCTTAGCATCTGCGTCATCTGACCACTTTTTTATTAACCGAGTCACTGGTGCTTCCTGCTTTAGTTTTTGCTTTTAAGCAGGAATCAGGAGGATAGAGTTATGGTCAGATTTGCCAAATGGAGGACGAGGGAGAGCTTTGTATGCGTCTCTGTGTGTGGAGTAAAGGTGGTCTAGAGTTTTTTTTTCCTCTGGTTGCACATTTAACATGCTGGTAGAAATTAGGTAGAACGGATGTAAGTTTCCCTGCATTAAAGTCCCCGGCCACTAGGAGCGCTGCCTCTGGATGAGCGTTTTCCTGTTGACGTATGGCCTTATACAGCTCATTCAGTGCAATCTTAATGCCAGCATTGGTTTGTGGTGGTAAATAGACAGCTATGAAAAATATAGATGAAAACTCTCTTGGTCAATAGTGTGGTCTACAGCTTATCATAAGATACTCTACCTCAGGCGAGCAAAACCTCGAGACTTCCTTAGTATTTGATTTTGTGCACCAGCTGTTGTTTACAAATATACACAGACCGCCACCCCTTGTCTTACCGGAGTCAGCCGTTCTATCCTGCCGATGTAGCGTATAGCCCGCTAGCTGTATGTTGTCCATGTCGTCGTTCAGCCACGACTCGGTGAAACATAAAATATTACAGTTTTTAATGTCCCGTTGGTAGGATAACCGTAATCTTAGGTCATCCAATTTATTCTCAAATGATTGAAGATTGGCTAATAGGATTGATGGGAGCAGCAGTTTACTCGCTCGCCGTCGGATCCTTACAAGGCACCCTGACCTACGTCCACGATATCTCCATCTCTTTCTCATGCGAATGACGGGGATTTGGGCCTTGTCGGGTGTCTGTAGGATATCCTTTGTGGCCGCCTCGTTGAATAAAAAATCTTCGTCCAATACGAGGTGAGTAATCGCTGTCCTGATATCCAGAAGCTCTTTTTGGTTATAAGAGACGATGGCAGAAACATTATGTACAAAATAAATTACAAATAACGCGGAAAAACACACATAATAGTACAATTGGTTAGAGGGCTGTAAAACGGCAGCCATCTTCTCCGGCTTCCTCTTAATTACTGTATTAACCCCTCGTTCCATGTGTCTCTCCTCAGGCCGGTAGTAGCTGGTCCACTCCAGGAGTCTGAGGTACGGAAGGTTCCTCAGCCCCCACTGGACATCGAGGGGGCACCGGCGTACTCGGTCCGGTCCATCTTGGATTCGAGGCGTCGGGTGGGGGGCCTGCAGTATCTCGTGGAGTGGGAGGGGTACGGTCCGGAGGAACGGTGCTAGCATCCTCGATATCTCCATGTTGAGGGATTTCCGCCCTGCTCCGCGTCCTCCTGGCCGTCCCCGAGGCCGGGGTCGGCGCACGGCTGGAGCCGCGCGTCAAGGGGGGGTACTGTCACGAATTCAGCCGAGGCTGCCCCTCCTCCTTGCTCGGGCAGGCTTCAGCGTTCGTCGTCACCGCAGTACTAGCTACTACCGATCCATGTGTCTATGTTCGACTTGTTTTGTCTTTATTGGTCATGCCTGTTTCCCATCATGTAGTTATGTCTTCCCTATTTACCCTCTGTCTCACACTGTGTGTTGTGCGTGTTTGTTCATGTTTTGGTTGTCGTTAGTGTGCAGGTTTGTTTCCTACCTGCGTGGAGGTTTTGTTCATACATTTTGTTCTACGAGTAAAGTACGCTTTTTGACCAGCTCTGTGTCCTGCGCCTGACTTCGCCTACCGCATTACACTGACGCTTTGACAGCAGCATTAGAAGTCTCAATGGAAAATGGCTTTAGTTTTGGAGTAACACTGGGTTTATCCCAGAACAATCCAAAGTCTCGCTCATTGTTGCTGAGCCCACAGAGAGACTTACAGGTCATGACATTTAACCTATATAACAGCGTGAGAGCTTTTGGAACACCATGTTTCTCCTCTCACTGAGTTCAACGATGTCACTATGAGTTAACAGGAATATGAGTGGACAAGTACAGTGGCTACACAGTGTACTGGGTGCACAGTGCAGTCATTTACAGTAGCCTATGGAGACCAATCTGTAACACTCCATTTCAAGTGCTCTTTTAGGGACAATACATCTGACTGTTCAATGTAGCAATGTTTTAATTGTAGGCTATCTGTCACCATACAAGTATATGATTAATAAAACCACTTTCCCTTTTCTTTCCCAGGTTCCCCAGAAAGTGTTGGTGGTGATATGTCCCAGCATGCTGAAGTGGACCTCTCATCCAATGGTCTCACAGAACTGGACTTGGGGTCAGATGAGGTGTTTATCATTTCGTCTGTGCCTAATCCAAGCAGCAGACTGCCGTTCTCGGCCCACACGGTAAGGAGCGAGGCAAGGCAGGTAACCCAGAACCCAGGTGAGGACCCATGGTGGTGCTTTCCTCTAGGGTGACACCCAAGCAGTAGCAGGGAACCCAGGCTAGGGCCTTGGTGGTGCCCTCTTCTAGGGGTGACACTCAGGCAGTAGAGAGAACCCAGGCTAGGACCCGCTCTAGGGGTGGGTGACACCCAGGCAGAAGGCCCCGTCCTGCCAAGTATTTTTTCCTTGAATTCGCAACCCTCTGCTGGTAATAGCTATGAACCACACCGCCTGGTGGTCGAGGTGTCAGAGTATAGAAACACAGTGACAGGGGATTGGCTGTAGGAGAGGGTTTGATACAGCATTTTTGCTTGTGCTCTATTGGAATAAGAGTTGGCATAAGGCAGGCCTGGCAGCTATTAGGGAGCTGGCGAGCTTTCCTGCAGCCTAGCCTAATGGATGTATTATCTGTGAAGCCAGTTTCCCAGCTCTAATTCTCTCTGTGTGTGTGTGTGTGTGTGTGTGTGTGTGTGTGTGTGTGTGTGTGTGTGTGTGTGTGTGTGTGTGTGTGTGTGTGTGTGTTCATGCGCGTTTGCGTGCTGTGGTGCATTGCTGTGTGTGGTCTGTATGTGTTTGTGTACTGTTTGTGCAGATTGTGTGTATGTACATATTTGTTCAGACTGATGATGGGAAGAAGGACTCGCACAGGAAATCCGTCCAGAGCCTTATCCGTTCATGTAACTAGCTAGATGGAACTCGCATTAATTTCTCGTGGACAAACTACATAAACATAAATGGTACCGTAGCTCTGTCACGATACAACGGCATGTGTGAGATAAGGAGCAGCATTAGTTCCGGTGCTTGTGTTTATCGTCACTGGTTATTTGGACAAATCACAATTTTACTGATTTTAGCATCTTTAGAATTTCAGAAGGGGAGGGGACATTTGGCCTATAAACTTGCCCGTAACTTGTAAAGAGAGAGGGTGGAGCTCTTCATTCTGGTTCCGATCCTCATTCTATCTCTCCTCTTAACGCGTATGGACCCAGAACTTCATCGAGCATCTGACCAATTACAGAGGACTTTAGTTCTGGGTTAACCAAGATTACGCTTGTGTAAAATATTTGCATTGAGTGTATTTTGCCAAGTGAGTAGTTTGCATGCGCCATGACAGCTAACATTAGCACTATAAGCTTACACCCACTGACTGGCTGTGGCTAAAATGAGCCTAGCTATCTGCGTCTGCATTGTGTCCAACTCTGTCATGTTTCCGAGTAGATTATTTATCACGAGCTCAATTCCCGCCACATTTTAAGCCCCACCTACACAAACTCGTGATTTGTTGGGAGAGTTGTATGTCTGTCTGAAGAGCACCCTCCCCAAAATGGCCAAGAAAATCTGACATGATCCTCAGACCTAGTGCTGTTGCCCTAGGTCTAGGATTTCCGAGACTAAGTGTGGGGGGTAATACAGGGCTCTGTTTCACATCTGGGTGGCTTATCCTCCACCTTTTTGCCCAAACTGCAACAAGTTACCATTGGTGGGGGGCTTTTGTGGTGAGCAGGGCACTTCATTTAAAACCTTCCTAATTCTTGTCTAGACTAAGCGAGCTGTTAATGATTCTGTGTAAGGATTATCTGGCTCTTTCTGGGAGGAGTACCCCCCCCCAAACCTGAATAATGAGGGGGGATACGTGACTGATGTGCCCTTCACCCCTGACCTGCCATTCCTATTAGCGCTAGGCCCGCATTCACAAAGACTCTCAGAGTGATCTAAAAGGCAAAACTGATCCTATATCAGCAGTCCTATCTGAGAATCTTTGTGAATACGATTGCAGGAATCACTGACTGCACCCACTACCAGGCAAGCAGCACTTGTTGTTTTGAATTGCATGTCTGATTCTGTGGTTTGCTTGCTGCCCTTTTAGGTCAACGGCGATTGGAGGTTCAGTTCAGAGCTTGAATATAATGTGAGCTATTTTTATTAGTGATAATTTCTTGTGAATGAGTCTCATTCACGCTCTGATGCCACTGGTGGAGAAAACTCCATTGGCTGAGGGCTCAAGTCAGTTGAACACACATTGTATTTAAGCAGTGGCTGTTTTTCCCATGGTCAAATAAAAGTATAGACTAATCACAGGTAGATGCTTCCAGTCTCCAGAATAAGTGTGTGCGTTCCATGGCAGTAAATTGTAAACTAAGACACTGTGTAAACATTGCTACAGTGGGTTCAGTGGGTTCATTGGGTTCGAGCGGTTCTACTCTTTCAGATGCTTCCAGTTTTCCAAATAAGAAGTCTGTTTTCAAACTACTGTAGGCCTACCCCACATGCACACAAATACACTGAATGCCGGGTTTGATTGAATTCCATCTGATTTGTTTGATGTGTGTCTCTCCTCTCGGCAGCGGGAGAGGTTTCTAAGGCACAGTGACACCGGCCCTGGCCCTGTGACTGACTGGCCCTCTCTAGACCCGGCTGCCTCCCCCACAGAGACCAGGGCTGCCCAGGATGGCAGTGCCAGCTGTGCCCGGCCACGGGCCTGGAGTGTCCGTACCTTCCAGGACTTCCTCCCTCCACTGCCCCAGTTACATAAGAAGTGGTGCAGTTGGAACTCCACCAGTCCCTTCACTAAGCTGGTGGACAGCGTTAGTTGCTATTATGTTATTGGTCATTCAGCAGATACTGTATTTCTTTACGTTTACATTTTGGTTATTTAGCAGACGTTCTTACCCAGAACGACTTACAGTCATGTAATGTATGTTTGCAAGTGGATTATTTTATAGCAAATGTTTCATTACTCGATGCATAATGCATAAACCATGAATATCGGGTTGCACTGCAGAGGGATATGTGTTGACTAGATATTGTTCCCCCAGGCACCGTCCAGCTTTGTGTCAGACTGCCGTGGGGAGAACAGCAGGAAGGTGTTCTCCGACCCCCAGCTGGAGGCCCAGAACGACCGTAATGCCTCTGACTCCTCCATGAGTAACGACTCGTACCCCTTGGCTCAGCCAGCCCAGCGCCAGCGCCGCCTCAACTCCACGAGCAACCTTCGGCGTTCCCGCTTCACCGGGCCCTGCTTTGGTCTGCTCTCTGGGTCTGGCCCCTCAAACAGCACCAAGGCCCCCGGGGGCCCCCACCTCCAGGCCTCCCCGTCCGAGCCCAGTAACGGCCCCTCTGGGCATGGTGTGATTTCCCTCGATTTCCCAGCGGAGAGCGACCACGTCAGTGTCCCTGTGTTTTCCATCTGTGAGGAGGAGGACCGGCAGCCCCTGGTCCTGGCTGAGCACCTGGGCCAGTCCCCCATGCTGAACGGACTGAGCCGGGGGCCGTACGAGGGGAAGGCGCCCGCCAGTGGAGGCCCCAACCCTGGTCCCCAGAGTCCAGCCAACGGCCCCCTCCTCCAGAGGGAGAGGTCAGAGTGGAGGCCATGGGGGAGTCAGGCCTCAGGAGGGGCCAGTCCTTACCCTCTCCCTCAACCCTCTGACTCACCCACAGCCGCCAACCCCACCGAGTTAAAGTTTGCCTTCGTGCAAAGCACAGCCAATCATATCCAGATGCCTTCCCTCAGCCAATCAACAGTGCCATGCAGTGTGACGGCCAAGGAGATGTGACCAGTGAAAGTCCAGCATCCAGACCATGTGACAGACAGAGCATGGACTACTGGGTTGGCCCAGCAAAGCAATAATTAACTATTTTTAGTTCCACTTTTGTCAAATGCAAAACTTACCTTTTTGATTACTGAAATCAACTTTTATATGACATTTGTACATTCTTGAAGTAAATTGCTTCATGGTGACAAATTGGATGTTTTCATACTAGTACCCACAATATATTTTTTTTATCAAGTTAAAACCACTTCATCAATATATGCTGTATACCACACCAAGGCGTTTTCAGCTTCAGTATAATTTGTTAAAAAAATTAAACTTTAAATCATGTTGAATATGGATGTTAAAAGAAACCATGCTAGTATTTTCCAAGAGCACTTAATTTCCCAACTCATCTGAGCACTTTTGTACCAGTTAATCGTTTTGATACTTTTCATCAAATTGAAAATTATTAAACATAAGCACTTTCAACGCAATAGCTCACTCATGCTTGTGGATTTTGTGCTGAAATGTGCCAACTTCTGCCTTTTGTCCAACAACCATGGGCCTTGAAGCAGTGAATTATAATAGCACCACAGAGCTCCATGGGGACTGTATACTATTGCTCTGTGCCCTCCAGTGTTAAACTGATATAGATCACACGCAGTTTATTAACTTCAACGCTACAACAATGTATACAAATGTATTCCTAAGGCTGATACTGGGATATAAAAGGGAATTGATCATTGTAAAAATAAAAAAAGTGACAAATGCCGTAACTAACATTCAATAGATGTAGGCATATATGACCAGCTATAAAGATAAATGTCGCAATTGTAAACCTAGAAAATAAATAGGGTTGGTGGGAATTTGTGCAAAGAACTTTTAATAAAGGTTGTTATCTACGTAAATTGCTGCTTCAGTTCTTGATCATTTGATGTCAGCAGAAAGTAGTAGGTAGCAAGTCATGCATCTTAATCACAATGAGGGAACAAGTATTTTATTAGTGCAGTAAAAAAACAGACATGGATCCATATACCGAACAAGAAGTATTTTAGAATTGCTAATACAGGGTAGGGGCACAACTCCAGCCTTCAAGGATCACAGTCCTGCTGGATTTCATTTCTACCTGGCTCTATATTGATAAATCAATATTTAAAGAGTTTTCTGCCATTAAAAAGCTACTTCTCATTTTTGAAAACGGGCTATGTGGCATCGATATGAGTCAAACAATTATAGTGTCAAGATCTACTACAAAGTGTAAATAGGAAGATGATGAGAAAAAATTGTTAACCCCCCCCCTCCCCTCCCCTCCCCTCCAAGACAACGCTTGTTTGGCTTCAGTCATGGCCACTGCATTTCTTAATGACCAAGCCCAAAAAACGAGGCCAAATCAGGAAGTTCAGCCCCCCTTTAATGACCAAGCCGAAAATTAGGCCAAATCAGGAAACCCCCTTTAAGTTGATTGACTAAGTGCAGTGCATACACCTGGTTGAACTCCCAGAGGGGTATACTACGATTTTCTAAAGCTAGCTTCAGTTAGCTTCACATTGCAGCTCAGGCTTCATCCAAACTATGACGGTGGATATTGCTCATCCGCCCTGCCGCTAAGTCTAGCAGGCTTGTAACTGCAAAATTCTTCATTGAGACAATGCTGAAACATCGATCCATGGGCGAGTCAGTGCCCCATTTTTCATTTCTCACAAATTCAGCAAATTCTGTGAAATAGATTTGTTGAAATGCAGTCTTTATTCTATTACTTATTATTATTAATGCCATCTTTGGTGTGCTTATCAATGCAGGAGCACCTTTTTCCCACTCCTATCGATAAAGTAATTGTATTAAGTCAAACAAGTTTTACTGTGCGTGAAGTTTCAAATGCATTCTGTCATTACTAAATGTGTAATGTGATAGGTATTTTAACATGACTATTTAACAAAAACACAACATTTTATCAGCCATCTTCCTCAAATGAAGGGGATGATGACGCAATCGGAGGGAATCTGATTTCATTGGTCCTCAACTCGCGGGGGGTGTAATAAAGGGCTAGTGTACTAATTTGGTTAGAAATTAGTACACTATTTGTTTTCTTAATTTTTTCGTTGTGCTTTATCAGGGGGTGCTGCAGCACCCTCATCACCCCTACTTCCCGCGGCTATGGACGTATGTAGTATAGGGCTCAGAATTTGTATTTTTTAAACAGAAACCCCCGAGGGCCAGAGTTGTGTTCCCCTGCATTAAACGTAACTAAGCGCTCGATTCAATCCGTACCGTGGAAGTTCAGCGCTATAGCGTGATAGAAATTGAAAAGCAAGGTTTGCGTTGACTGCATTCACGGTAAACGCTGCATATGTCGGCTCAATCGGAAATGACCTTTACATTTCAATCGTGCTACAGCGCTGAACTTCCGCAACACGGATTGAATTGATCCCTGAGTGCTGCTCTACATGCCCATTCAGTCAGTCCTCCACTTCATAGAATCTATTAAACAAAGTACAGACGGGATTGTTCTGAACGTCTTGGGAGGATTTGATGAGGTAGAATTAAACTTAAGCTTGATCCAGACTTTAATCACAAAGTGAGTAAATATTTGCCATAGAATACATTGTTTCTCTAGGAGAGAATGCAAAGCACCCTCCAAAGCCTCTTTAACACCAATTCCGGATCGGCGGCTTGCACTGTTGTTGGCTTAGGGTGCCCAGATCCTCCTGTTGGAAATAATTAAGGTTCAGCTCTGCTGTGCTGTGGGGAGGGATCGGCTGGCTGGGGAAGGTTGTGCTGAGCTAGGGCCTGAGCCTCTCAGGAATGCCACAGTGCGAACCCACAACAGGGAAACCATGACTTAAGACCACAAATTAAGACATGAGCTAAGGCCTCGGGCAGAAAGCGGGCTGATTATTTGTCTCCCTTTATACCCACTCAAAAAACCCTGGGTGCGGGGTTGTGAATATTGCCACTAAACAGTCGTCACAATGAGGGTATATCGTTAGGCTACGTACAGTGCATTCTAAAAGTATTCAGACCCCTTGACTTTTTCCACATTTTGTTATGTCTTTTCTAAAATTGATTAAATAGTTTTATTTTATTCAATCTACACACAATAACCCATAATGACAAACCAAAGACAGATTTTTAGAAATGTTTGTAAATGTATAAAAAATAAAAACTGAAATATCACATTTACATAAGTATTCAGACCCTTTACTCAGTACTTTGTTGAAGCACCTTTGGCAGTGATTACAGCCTTGAGTCTTCTTGGGTATGATGCTACAAGCTTGACACACTTGTATTTGGGGAGTTTCTCCCATTCTTCTCTGCAGATCCTCTCAAGCTCTGTCAGGTTGGATGGGGAGCATTGCTGCACAGCTATTTTCAGGTCTCTCCAGAGATGCTCGATCGGGTTCAAGTCCGGGCCACTCAAGGACATTCAGAGACTTGTCCCGAAGCCACTCCTGCGTTGTTTTGGCTGTGTACTTCGGGTCATTGTCCTGTTGGAAGGTGAACCTTCGCCCCAGTCTGAGGTCCTCAGCGCTCTGGAGTTTTCATCAAGGATCTCTCTGTACTTTGCTTCGTTCATCTTTCCCTCAATCCTGACTAGTCTCCCAGTCGCTGCCGCTGAAAAACATCCCCACAGCATGATGCTGCCACCACCATGCTTCACCGTAGGGATGGGGCCAGGTTTCCTACAGACGTGACGCTTGGCATTCAGGCCGGAGTTCAATCTTGGTTTCATCAGACCAGAGAATCTTGTTTGTCATGGTCTGAGAGTCCCTTAGGTGCCTTTTGGCAAACTCCAAGCGGGTTGTCATGTGCCTTTTACTGAGGAGTGGCTTCCATCTGGCCACTCTACCATAAAAGGCCTGATTGGTTGAGTGCTGCAGAGATGGTTGTCCTTCTGGAAGGTTCTCCCATCTCCACAGAGTAACTCTGGAGCTCTGTCAGAGTGACCATGGTGTTCTTAGTCACCTCCCTGACCAAGGCCCATCTCCCCCGATTGCTCAGTTTGGCCGGGCGGCCAGCTCTAGGAAGAGTCTTGGTGGTTCCAAACGTCTTCAATTTAAGAATGATGGAGGCAACTGTGTTCTTGGGGACCTTCAATGCTGCAGACATTTTTTGGCACCCCTCCCCCAGATCTGTGCCACGACACAATCCTGACCTCATGGCTTGGTTTTTGCTCTGACATGCACTGTCAACTGTGAGACCTTATATAGACAGGTGTGTGCCTTTCCAAATCATGTCCAATCAATTGAATTTACCACAAGTGGACTCCAATCAAGTTGTAGAAACATCTCTAAAATGATGAATGGAAACAGGATGCACCTGAGCTCAATTTCAAGTCTCATAGCAAAGGGTCTGAATACTTATGTAAATAAGGTATCTTTATATATATATATATATATATATATATATATATGCAAAAAAAATTGCTTTGTCATGAGGTATTGTGTGTAGATTGATGAGTAAAAATGTAATTTATTTCATTTTAGAATAACGCTGTAACGTAACAAAATGTGGGAAAAGTCAAGGGGTCTGAATACTTTCCGAATGCACTGTAGGTAGAGTTAAAACACCAATCCCAAGTTTCACACACATTGATTACACAAGGACATTTCTCAATGGATGTTGTAATAGAGAATAAAGAACAGAGTTGTAGCCTACACCATTTCTGCAGTGCTTATTACAGTTCAGCTTGGGGCCGGTATTCAAACAAACACAAAGGACCAGTAAACTGTGATAGACTAAGGGAATTTCTGCTTGAACAGATAGACATCTGTGGCCTTTACAGCTAATTTAATCTCCATGAATGTTTGGGAAATTGCCTTCAATCTATCGCTGTGTACAGGTCATTAATCTGTGTTTGTTTGAATTCCCACCTAATTGTAATCTTGTGTATCATCAAAAGAACAGCTGGGTGCCGATCGCGGGTTATAGGCATTGCAGCTTTTAAAAGGCAATTTCCGATTGAGCTGGCATATGCAGCGTGTACTGTGAATGGGATCTCCGCGAACACGGGAACATTGCTTTTCAAACCCGCAATGCCTATAACCCACAATCAGATTGAATCCCAGCCTAAGTATTCAAATGAGTGATTCAGATTTTTCAATGTGTGCGAGCTGAATTAGAAGCAAATACCCTCAAAGCTAGTCTTGCTTGTAAACAGATCTAATACAAACAGTTTGCACGCTCTACTTTTTCCCCATCTTAAATCAATGCTGTAATTTAAATGTCACAATTTACAAAGTCACATTTACAATCTGATGATTTAAAACAACTATAATCTCTTAATTTCATTTCTTTCAAAGTTATTTAAAACGTTAAATTGCATCAGAATGTAATGACTTGCATACCCCCCCCCCCCCCTCACACAAGGCCACATGAATAAAATAGTATATCAGGCTATTCTAGCTAGCCTAAAGGTCTCTGATAAACAAACTCTGTTATAAGATTGATATAAAATGCTCCAAGGTTACACTTCAATATGGCAACATATATTGAAAAACGTCCTCATCGTATGAACTAGAATACAAAGCAACAATTCATAATACTGTCAGTTTAACATTGACACACATGAATTCCTGAAAACGTTGGGTGGTTTCTGCGAAATTGGTCTTGCAAAACAATACAGAATGGTAATCCTTACTAACAAGTATGATACAACCAGTATGGATCAAGTCGTTGGCTTAAATCAACATGTTTAGCCAACACCACTAACCTAATATAATGCAAAAAGGAGGAACAATTCTACCCCACGAACCCTCTAGTCTAGCAAACCATTGTGCATTCTAACAAAGAAACTGCATTGGCCGTTACTACTAGTTCTCTAATACACTACTTTAAAATCAGCTTTACGTTGATTATCCCAGGCAAAGCATATAACTCTACACCCCCGCCTTTCCCAGCCTCAGATAAAACATTTCAACCCTTACCCCTTATTATCCCTGCCTGAAGAACTGAAATCCTGTACAACTAACTATCCATGGATTCTCGCTCAGCCCTATAATGCTCAGCTTGTACATGGCTTTTAGCCCTTGTCAGGAAATCCACAAAGAAACCCAGCAGAAATCCCCTTTTCACAAAACTACGTATAACCTCCCCTTTCCAATAAATACAGATTGCATTGTCTTTCCAGTTAGAAGTCTTATTAATATGTGGAAGCAGCAACTGTCTGAATTCAAAATGGTCCCACTGAATATCTTTGTCATCCATATAAATCACAAGAAACCTCAAAGTCTGTATATGCATAGAAGTCTTTAAACAACATAGCTGTGATTCAACCTAGTTTGTTTGGGGGAAGGTTCCAACATATGAATACTATTTAGATGTTTAGAACACAGTTCGCTGCAGTATTTTCACAGAAAAAGTAGGAAGCTCTAGATTCTAATTCAAATACATAATTCTCCAAGATATCTAAAGCACTACACCACAAGTTAAGAGAAAAACAAAATCAATTGATCCTTTTCTTTTTTTTGTGCTAACTACTCAGGCACGGAAATAGAAAAGGTATCAACAGCTTACTAATATCAATATGTGCCTTATAAGCTACCGTCACAAAAGATGCCATTTCATCCTGTGTATAACAGTACATGTATGGCCAATGTCCATTTTGATTGCCAACTGTTCTCAGTAGGTGTATTTTTTTTTATCCCTCACCAAACTAGTCATATGATCAGGTACCCAAAAGGACATGATAATGTAATAAAGGGTGATGACCATATTCCTCATAAGATATTAGTCTATGATCATCATATAGGGGAATCAGGTCCTACTGACCATAGCATTATCCCACTCACTCCTACTATACCTATAACACTAGGCTAATCATGACCTAGCCAGTCTTCTCAAAAGAGTTTGATTGTAATTTCTGCATATAATCAAATACGTAAAGTCTATAGAGCCTGTGAGAGAACTAGAAATTATTACCTAAGAGAGATACCTTTCCTCAGGGCAAGAAGCTTCTTAATAAAGGGGGGAGGGGGGGACGACGACGATCCCTTTGTATAGAGACAGACAGTAATACAGGAGATCATTGGAAGTCAGTCTTCGCTTCAGTGATTGGATAGGAGCCTTGCATAGCAGGTCACCCACGAGGCTCTTCAGCTCTTGAAACGGGTCTGCTCACATATGTGGTTGAATTTCCTGCAACAAGGTGAAAAGGAAACAATACAAATGTGTCACATCATGAACCAGAGCTGCTGTGTGAGGAGCTGTGACGTGTGAAGGAGTGATTGCAGCTTTCCTCTACTAGCAGGTGTGATTGGCCAAGCTGATACAACAGTGTCCTCTGCTGGTAGAATGCATGTACAGCCACACTGAAGCCTCCAACAGTGACCACACAACTATACAGACACTACATACATAAAACTATGTCATGACCAAAGGTATGTGGACACCTGCTCGCCAAACATTTCATTCCAAAATCATGGGCATCAATATGGAATTGGTCCCACATTTGCTGCTATAACAGCCTCCACTCTTCTGGGAAGGCTTTCCACTAGATGTTGGAACATTGCTGCGGGGATTTGCTTCCATTCAGCCTCAAGAGCATTAGTGAGGTCGGGCACTGATGTTGGGCGATTAGGCCTTGCTCGCAGTCGGCGTTCCAATTCATCCCAAAGGTGTTCGATGGGGTTGAGGTCAGGGCTCTGTGCAGGCCAGTCAAGTTCTTCCACACCGGTCTCGTCAAACCATTTCTGTATGGACCTCGCTTTGTGCACGGGAGCATTGTCATGCTGAAACAGGAAAGGGCCTTCCCCAATCTGTTGCCACAAAGTTGGAAGCACAGAATCGTCTAGAATGTCATAGTATGCTGTACGTTAAGATGTCCCTTCACTGGAACTAAGGGGACTAGGCCGAACCATGAAAAACCGCCCTAGACCATTATTCCTCCTCCACCAAACTTTACAGTTGGCACTATGCATTGGGGCAGGTTGCATTCTCCTGGCATCCGCCAAACCCAGATTCATTCGTCCGTCTGCCAGATGGTGAAGCATGATTCATCACTCCAGAGAACGCGTTTCCACTGCTCCAGTCCAATGGCGGTGAGCTTTACACTACTCCAGCCGACGCTTGGCATTGCGCATGGTGATCTTAGGCTTGTGTGCGGCTGCTCAGCCATGGAAACCCATTTCATTAAGTTCCTGACGAGCAGTTATTGTGCTGGCTTTTGTATGTACAGTGGGGGAAAAAAGTATTTAGTCAGCCACCAATTGTGCAAGTTCTCCCACTTAAAAAGATGAGAGAGGCCTGTAATTTTCATCATAGGTACACATCAACTATGACAGACAAAATGAGAAAAGAAAATCCAGAAAATCACATTGTAGGATTTTTTATGAATTTATTTGCAAATTATGGTGGAAAATAAGTATTTGGTCAATAACAAAAGTTTCTCAATACTTTGTTATATACCCTTTGTTGGCAATGACACAACAGTTTTCACACACTGTTGCTGGTATTTTGGCCCATTACTCCATGCAGATCTCCTCTAGAGCAGTGATGTTTTGGGGCTGTCGCTGGGCAACACAGACTTTCAACTCCCTCCAAAGATTTTCTATGGGGTTGAGATCTGGAGACTGGCTAGGCCACTCCAGGACCTTGAAATGCTTCTTACGAAGCCACTCCTTCGTTGCCTGGGCGGTGTGTTTGGGATCATTGTCATGCTGAAAGACACAGCCACGTTTCATCTTCAATGCCCTTGCTGATGGAAGGAGGTTTTCACTCAAAATCTCACGATACATGGCCCCATTCATTCTTTCCTTTACACGGATCAGTCGTCCTGGTCCCTTTGCAGAAAAACAGCCCCAAAGCATGATGTTTCCACCCCCATGCTTCACAGTAGGTATGGTGTTCTTTGGATGCAACTCAGCATTCTTTGTCCTCCAAACACGGCGAGTTGAGTTTTTACCAAAAAGTTCTATTTTGGTTTCATCTGACCATATGACATTCTCCCAATCCTCTTCTGGATCATCCAAATGCACTCTAGCAAACTTCAGACGGGCCTGGACATGTACTGGCTTAAGCAGGGGGACACGTCTGGCACTGCAGGATTTGAGTCCCTGGCGGCGTAGTGTGTTACTGATGGTAGGCTTTGTTACTTTGGTCCCAGCTCTCTGCAGGTCATTCACTAGGTCCCCCCGTGTGGTTCTGGGATTTTTGCTCACCGTTCTTGTGATCATTTTGACCCCACGGGGTGAGATCTTGCGTGGAGCCCCAGATCGAGGGAGATTATCAGTGGTCTTGTATGTCTTCCATTTCCTAATAATTGCTCCCACAGTTGATTTCTTCAAACCAAGCTGCTTACCTATTGCAGATTCAGTCTTCACAGCCTGGTGCAGGTCTACAATTTTGTTTCTGGTGTCCTTTGACAGCTCTTTGGTCTTGGCCATAGTAGAGTTTGGAGTGTGACTGTTTGAGGTTGTGGACAGGTGTCTTTTATACTGATAACAAGTTCAAACATGTGCCATTAATACAGGTAACGAGTGGAGGACAGAGGAGCCTCTTAAAGAAGAAGTTACAGGTCTGTGAGAGCCAGAAATCTTGCTTGTTTGTAGGTGACCAAATACTTATTTTCCACCATAATTTGCTAATCAATTCATTAAAAATCCTACAATGTGATTTTCTGAAGAAAAAAAATGCTCAATTTGTCTGTCATAGTTGACGTGTACCCATGATGAAAATTACAGGCCTCTCATCTTTTTAAGTGGGAGAACTTGCACAATTGGTGGCTGACTAAATACTTTTTTTCCCCACTGACTGTATGTATATGTATATATTTAAGCTTGGACTGTGGAGACCTATTCAGAAGATAATGGCCACATGTAACTTACGTGGCGTGGTGTGCCTTTACTTGAGTACGGCAGTTGCGTCCCCAATAACAGTCAGGCCGAGACGTCACAGCAGCTGTGGGAAAGAATATTAAACAAATCAAGCTTAATTCCTAATTCGGACATGCTAGTTCATTGCCATCTCCCAGTCTACTGCCGTTAGAGGCTGTGTCGTTGTGGGCAGTGCTCTCTCTCACCTGGAAGCTCCGAGGCAGGGATGTTCTGTCTGTATTTGTAGGCCAGCTCCTTGAAGGCACGCAGGCCGCAGCAGAAACACATTATGGCGTTACTGTTGATGCGATAATCTGGGATAGAAAAAGTGGAGAGTGAGAGTTACTAGTGTGTTCCAAAGTGAGGTGGAAGGATGCTCTGCACTGTCAGTAGGACTTAGAACCATGTTCAAGATGGGAAGCTTAATGGTGGCGTTCCAGTTTATCGTTTTTGCAGTTGTGTTGATTATCATATCTCATAACATCTGCAGATGTGGCTCAGAAACACTTTATTATGATGTAGCAAATTTCTGAGAGATGTGCAGTGCAACTGCAAAAAAGACAACCACGAATGCTTCCAATCTCAAGTTTTATGTGAGGTGAAAAGGATAGTGTCAGACTGACCAGAGAGATAGAAGGTTCCCTGTTGCAGGCCCCGAAGACCCTCCTGTAGCATGTCCCTCCACGACATCCCTCTGGCTGCCAAGTAATTCTGCAAGCAGAAGGGATGACAGGTTATAGATTATAATATTAGACTTTATTGATCTCCATAGTAGAGAAATTATAAACAAATGCAAAGGAAATACATTCACTTAAACTGGGTTATGTAACCAGGGGCCGGTTTCCCAGACACAGATTAAGACTAGTCCTGGACTAAAAAGCATGGTCAATGGAGAATGTCATTGAATGTGTTTTAGTCCAGGACTAAGATTAATCTGTGTAGATGCTGTTTCTGGGTGTACAGACAGACCAATGGTTAGAGCCGAGGAGTATAAAAAGGAAGTACCTGGAGGATCTCTGATTCATAGTTATTGCTGTTCAGAACACCGTCCAGACATTTGTCTGTAAGGTTGAGTTCTGTGGAAGAAGACATGGATATTATATTTCTCATACTGGTAAACATGCTACTGCAATGTGATACGGTAACAAATGATGAGTAAGACATCGGGATAATATAGGAAATGTATCTTGGTAAATTTCCATTTGCAACCACTACTGTCAATAAACTTTCCACAATGATAGTGTTACCTCGGATATCACCCAAAAGGTCTTGTTAACTAAGCATCACAGCCCAGTGTGAAGTTTGTACCTGTTCTTTTCTAAGGTCAATTAAAGAACTATCCACAAACTTGGTATCAAGTACTACAACTTGATACTAATTCTCAAAGGGATAGTTTGGGATATTGGCAATGAACTTGTGGATAAAAATGTTATGTCTGCGTCCAGTATGAAGGAAGTTCGAGGTAGTTTCGTGAGCCAATGCTAAGCTAGTGCTAGTTAGCGTTGGCTAACGAAACTACCTTTAACTTCCTTCATACTGGATGCAGAGACATACATTTTTTATCCATGAGTTCATTGGACTGCCAAAATCACGAACCTTAAATTACCATTTTGTTCAACCTTGTATTCTTTATTTACCTTTGAATATATCAGGGACAAACTTTGAACCAGTGCTTAGTAAATCTAGCCATTAGGAGTACTAGATCAGAGACAAACCATTGAAATGTGCTAGACAGCCCTGACAGCCGATCCTCTGGCAGCCCCAGTACATGTGGCAAAAGGGCTGTTGGCACGTCACACCTGCCCAACACAAAGAACCACATCCATCAGCATATTCAGCCAAAGCAACCGTGCAGTTGGTCCATTAACATTGACTGACAGGCGTGTGGGCCACACACATTGCTGAGCGGAGAGTTGCTGGCCAATGAGCTCGGCGCGGCGGTCTGGCATGGGCTGCAGGCAGCAGGTGCAGATGACATGGCTGCCCCGAGGGCGGCACGTGTACTCCGGAGGAGCTGCAGGAGGAAGACAGGACACAGAGGGAGACATCTCAATAGGATACATATCTTCTGGGTCAAGGCCCTGAAGGGTGCACACTGTACTGCAGATGGTCAGATGCACTACAAGAATTCTAACACATTTCTGTGTTCAGGCGAGTGCAACATATTGATAGATAATTTGATCTGTAAGTGCACTCCATTATGTTGTCACTACATCAACCAATACAATGTAGAATTATTACATATCAGATATAAAAGCATTATATAAATGTAATCCATTATTGTCATGATCACCAGTTCGGCACATAGTTCAGTACCTGTAGTTGGGAGGTCAGAGCATGTTGATGGCCCCTCTCCAGGGGGTTTCCCAGCCCTGTCCTCAGGAGTTGGTGGGGCTGGTCCTAGAGGAGCTGGCCCTGTGGCCCACAGTACCTGGCTGACCTCCTTCCTGTAGCCTGGACACTGTCTGCACATCACAAAGGGTTGGCTGTGGACACACAACAACAGGAACAAGGAGAAAAGGTTTCAGAGGGAGAAAAACACACAACAACGCGGTCACACACTCTTGGTGACATACACACAAGACCACAAACACTTTCACGCATACACACAGCTACCCTTTTATCTGACCTGATATCAGAGGTGTCACTGTCGTTGTCAGAGAGCTCAAAGAGATAATCAGAGCTGCCCTCTTCATCAGAGAAGGAACGCTCAATCTTTGGCTGCAGCATGTCCCGGGTTATCTTGTTGTGGCTGTCCATGCTCTTCAGGTCCTCCTCACTGCGACACTTCTCTGTGGACACACAGGGTCAATATTTCAATGCTTTATCCACACACAAAAAGAGATGGTACAAACAAAGGCCCACATATTTTATAGGCTAGCCCTGTACAGATATTTGGGAAAAGGCACAAAAGACAAGGAGAAACACAAGACAAGATGCACAAATGCCGTGTTTAACAGGGGGAAGAGCTGGTGACTATCCCCAGTACTGTTAATGGAGGTACAAGGGTAGAGTAGGGCAGATTGGACACAAACCTGGGTGTTGGATAAGGTAGGCCTCCACCAGGTTGTTGAGGATGTGATTCTTGCGGATCCTCTCTACAGGGCAGCGACAGGTGGGGCAGAGAGACGAACGCTCCATCCAGCCAGAGTAACACGCAGCACAGAAGGTGTGCATACAGGGCTGCAGGCTAGTTGGGAGACACAGGGAGATGATAACATGAACAATGAAACACGCAGTAGCGGCAGCTTTCTGTCATATATAATGGAATTACTAGGAATTATAACATTTTGTGTTTTGTTTATATGACTATATATTATATTTATTGAAACCTTTATTTTTCATCTGCTGCGAAAAGCCACAAGTAATGAAAAAGTGGAGTGGGCCTATTTTCTAATGTAGTAATAGGTAGAGTCTTGCTGTACCTGACACAGTCATGAAGTAGGTCCTGACAGATGATACAGGTGAGCGACTCCTCCATTTTGTCAGTCTTGGCTCCTTCCACAGTCACAGCAGCTTTTCCCAACAGATCCCTGATAAGAGTTCCCTTAGCTGGGCCCGGGCCCACCACCTCAATACTGGAAGTATGTGGCAGTCCAAAATCATAGTTCTTATCTAGAGAAGGAACAGGGAAAAACTGTTACAATCAAGTGTCACCAACCAAGTATCAAGACCCTACAATGTAATGACACTGACCAGCACTGTCAGTTTTCCTCTTCTTTCTCTCTGGCTCCATGTCCACCTCTTCCTTATCCAGCATTGTGACTCTGCTCTGGGCTTCAGTCTGTCGTGCATTTGTTGAGCAGAGGAGGTAAGAGTTGGGCTCCTCAGCCTTGCCTACAGAGGACGCAGCACATTCAAGACCCTCAGAACCTGAGAGACAAAGAATTAAAAGCCCATGAGATTGATGCAAATTCAGTTACCTGTGCCTGTCCTTCAATATCAGGAGATTTACAAGTAGTAGTGATCATAAAAGTCTGATCATATCTGATCAAGTCTATCATATTATCAGTTGGCCAGAGCTGTCCTTGAATTAAAGGATTTTGAAAGAGGTAAAGAGAGTGAACAAAGCTGGCACAATTTAAGGGAGACATGCTATACCGGTTGAATAATTTGAGGGGGGAGGGCGGCATGCTTCACAGTTACCTAAAACATAGATTTACATAGAAGCCTCCCTGCTTCCCCTCAATGAGGACCATATAGAGCAAGCGCAGGCCAGATGGAAAGCCTACCTGAGGCAGAGGAGTGCAGGAGGGAGGCTGCAGAGGAACATTCTGTGGAGGGGGAGAACGTGTGGAGGAGGTGGGAGGAGGAGGTTGAGGGCTGGGGCTCCTCTAAAGCCTGCTGCTCCCGTGGAGGTCCAACCAGGAATGGCTCCACAGACACTGCTGCTGGAACAGGGCAGGGCTGGGCTTTCTGCTGCATATCTGAGCATTTGGTGGCACCGCCTGACAGGATGAGAATGGGTGGTAAGCAACAAACAAGCTAATGAAATCAGCCTGCAAATGTTTTTCATGAAAAATATAAGGTCGCCATCAAACATCACATTGATTTGGGTATTTACTACTTACCAATTGAGTCTTGTGAGAATGTCCTCTCTGCTTTTATGGACTGATATATGTAGGCAATGTCTGTAGGAGCAAGAGATTGCACACCATTCTTATACTTTACTCAGTTGTTGAGGCAAACTTTTGTGAACAATTCATTAAATATCCCAAAAAAGGGAACATATTACTCTTATTTTGGTCAGCTAAACTCATTCTTGAACAACTCAGTTTACAGAAGTTAATTGTGTATGTATTATATAACCAAGGTGGCAGCAGTGGAAGGTACACAAGAAAACAAGTGGCCTAAAAGACCTGTATGCACTATGAACTACTGATTTATAAACACTTTCTGAAGAAACTAAGAAAAGCGTTATATTCTTTCTACAGCGGTTCGTTTTTTTAACTTACACAACACTCACAATAAAATGAAGTAGGCCTATATTAAGCTGGCAACCGTGCCCTATGCTCTGTGTTTATTTAACCAATTTGTTGAAGTTATATTATCTTAAGGAGATATAACCAATGTAAAACAGAGAAACCAACATTATCGTGTAGCAACAAAGCGACCACAGAGTGAAACACCCTAATCAATATAGGAAAGAACATACTTTGCTCTGGCTCGTTTTTCCTGTACACAAAGTAGATGACATCTCCATTCTGCAGCATATGAATCTGCTTTTTCACCAGCTTGGACATGTTAATCACTGTACCATTGGTGCTAGAGGGGTGAAAAACAAAACAAAAACACTAATCAGTCATTTCTGTAGTGGATTTATCAGCAGCCTTGGAAGAAATCCCAGACTAGGGATGCAGTTATTATTATAGCAGCAATGAACAGGGCATTGATTAAATAGTAGCTTCTCTTCATGGGATGTATAGGGATGGAATTGTATCCTACACTATTGAGTAACTAAACTGTCGCATTCAACTTTTCTATTGCAGAGGTTTCCACAATATTCAGGAGCAAAACAGAGTTACCACTGTGCTCAATGAGGCTTAGCATAATGCAGTGGGTGTGTGTCTGTGTGTGTACACTAGAGTAATGTGTGTAGAGAAGACCTTGCTGACTCAGAGCATGGTAAAACATAACCTCTAATTACTGGTTAGTGCCATTTGCCTCATTGCCTGCAAGCTGGTTGCTTTACACTGACAATTAGACTGCACTGTGATGTGCAGGCAAAGATCTGTTCAATCCACCATTAAATCCACTGATCAGTCACAACAAACAGGACAATCTGCATAACATATTTTTCTATTATAATAAAACCTAACATAGACGCAGGTTCAAATCTATTTAGCTTAATTAGGCTAACAGATGTCAAATGCATTACATTACCATGTTATCACATTGTTAAACATACATAATTGATCAGTTGATCCTTGAAAATGGACCTACATTGAGCCTATAGGCTATACAGGACTTAGAAGAAAAAACCCCAAAGAAAAACCTATTGACAAGACACCCTCCTCATACCTCATGTCCTCTAGCCACACCAACCCTGAGCTCTCATCCTGGACTATCTTACAGTGATCCCCTGAGACCAGTTTGCTAGCAGGAAAGGAAAGATCACAGCCTGGTGAAAGAAAATGATGGTTAATAAAATGCACAGAAAATCACAACATAGTCTAAGATTACTATTTTCAACATGATTTGAATAAGCTAGATGTTCTCAAATGTTAGGCTACTTATGGAGCTGTTGTGCTATATCATGTGTAAAAAGCATTACTTTGTTTACGTCATGTTACTGTAAACAAGGCCAATTAGGACCTATTCATTATCCATTTTAAAATACCAGGAAAACATGGCTTTAGGCAATGGGCAGTTGATACTTTCACGAGTGGGCTCCGAATTACCAGACTGAGATTGTACAATTATGCAGATTTATTGTTGATACATTCTTCTCTTCTTCTTTTATACCATATTGTGGGTCCTGCATAGCATACTAGCTTATTAAACTCAGACACTTTGTATTGGAAAGCAGACTCCTGGAATTCAATATAATAGAGACTAAACCTTTCCTTGAGCAAAATCCATACAAAAAAACGTACTATTCTGCACACATGTTCTCAATAGACACCTTTGTTATCATCAGAGGGGCTGTTTACGTTTAGTGACATAGGGCACTGTGCCTTGAATGAACTGGTTTTATTAAAGAGCCCAGACACTGCCTGGCACACACTGTACTCCCGAGTGGCGCAGTGGTCTAAGGCACTGCATCGCAGTGCTAGCTGTGCCACTAGAGATCCTGGTTCGAATCCAGGCTCTGTCGTAGCCGGCCGCGACCGGGAGACCCATGGGGCGGCGCACAATTGGCCCAGCGTCGTCCAGGGTAGGGGAGGGAATGGCCGGCAGGGATGTAGCTCAGTTGGTAGTGCATGGCGTTTGCAATGCCAGGGTTGTGGGTTTGATTCCCATTAACTGTAAGTCGCTCTGGATAAGAGCGTCTGCTAAATGACTAAAATGTAAATGTAATGTCTATGACATGGTATCTTTTGTCACAAACATCAAGACATTTATAAACCAGATCCTCAAAAACAAGCAACATTCATTATATTTAGTTAAAAGTGTTCAAAACACTTTTTTTCAAATAAGTGTCATGTCTTATAGAATATATTTTACACATTACTATTATTGTGGGAGCAATAATCATTAATATTTAGAACATGTATTTTAGTAGCTCATTAAATATTTACATAATGTATAGATAACAGTTAAGTGTCCTACCACAGAACTTTCTATATCTTTCAGAAATTAGCCTACAATATGGTGAAGTGACTTAATCTCACTGTGTGGGATAGTAATTTTACCTTTTCTTCGCCCGACAGTGCATTCCCTGTTGACAAGCAATACTTCAGATTCAGTGTCCACCTTTACTAACTTCCCCCATGGTTGACTTCTTCCATGCTTCTCCATGTCCAAAGCTGGTACGTTCCAGTTTTCTAGCTATAACTTTTGATCAAATCATGAACATTAGAGATGCAAACACACTTCTTAGATCGGTGGCAGCAAATATGTCATCCAAGTATCGAAACCTATTCTAGTTGAGAAATGTGGAGCACTTGCTAGCTAGGTAGCTAACATTAGCTACTAGCTAACTAGCTTATCTTAGGAGTATAAACAATGAAGCAACCACCCTGTTTGGAAGAAGAAACGTCAACGTCAAGATGTTACTGTACCTAGCTAGCTAAGCTAACTACAGTAGCTAAAACGTTTGATTAGCAAGGTATTTAGAGTTAGTTGATCTTTGAAGCTAGTCAATCAAACAACAAAACAAGTCAATGGTGGACATGCGACGACAATCAACTTCGTTCTAAAAAAAAATAAGCACGCTAAAGCGGGCTGCTAACGTTAGCTAGCTAAGTTACTAGTAGCTAGCTAGCTAGCTACCGTTAGCTATCAAACTGCTTAGCTATCAAACTGCTTATCAGATGCTAGAAACGAGAAAGAATACGATTTAGCTACCTTGAAAATAGAGTTCAAAAGCGCGATTATTTCGTTCGATTATTTTTGCTTGAAGATGTTTTGTGCTTTCATTTTCCAGCTTGGCACATACACACACACTAGTTTACTTCCTGGCAACCAAAGGTATTTACAGGCAGCAGCTGATGGAGGAGGGGCGGAGAAAGTAGTCTGGAAAAAAATACAGGTTAAGACAAGAGGACTCGAATATCCCACAACTGTTTGCAAAAATGGGACCTGGGGCCTGTTGCACAAAAGTAGAATTAAGACATCCGGGATAAATGACTCAGCTGAGCTCAATGAAGCCAAAACATGTGCGTCCAGGCTTAATTGGTTGCACAAAGACCAAGCCAGGATGAGCAGACACGGATTCATTAAGCCAGGTGAAACCAATCCTGGATAGGTGCGCGCTCACGGCTCACTCAAATAGACCCCGCCACAGATCACAGATTAACTGATTTACCATGGCAACTAGAGCCGCGTACTTTTCCCCGTCGGAAGCACAAATCCTCATGGAGGCATACGAGGAGGTAAAATATATAATTAAGAAGAAAGGCAACACCGCCACAGTGATAAAGCAAAGAGAAAAAGCGTGGCAAAGTATTGCAGACCGCCTGAATGCGTAAGTAGTGCACAATTACACACTCACCGCTCCGCTGAAACATCACAATTACAATTCAAATATTTAATTCACATCTCCAAAAATGCAGTTGTACTGTAATTATGAAACGGTTAAATTTTTAATTGAAATGCACTGCAGATATGAGTGAAATTGTGTAAAGTAACTCCATCACACTGTATAAAGCTATGATAAATTTTTTGATATTTTTACTGAAAACAAGACAAAAATACCAAGTAATTTTTTGCAGTGTGACTCCATTAAATGTGTGTGTGTGTGTGTGTGTGTGTAGATTAAACATGAACGGGCCAAAACGGACATGGCAGCAGGTCAAAATCAAATACAAGAACATTCTGCAGAATGGTATGGTCCCTGACTAATATTTAACAAAGCACAAGCATATATTGTACCCAGAAGGTGCCTGCTCACACATTGTCTGTACTGTTTTAGCAGTGAAAAAGAATACCCACAGACAAGGCACGGGTGGTGGGTCACCAAAGGCTGACCTTACCCCAGCAGAGGACATGGCCTTGGAGCTAAATAAAGGCAGGCCCGTCTTAGAGGGGATCCCTGGGGGGAAAGAGACGAGCATAGGTTCCTCCCAAGATGCCACCCGCTTCATTCAAGGTATGTCCTTCCATCTCTACATGGGATACAACCACATTCATATTGAATCAATTTGGACTGTCTGACTTTGGTTTACCTATTGCCTTGCAGTGTCTGGCAGCACTGTGTTCCTGTTAGAGCCACCAGCACAAGCACCAGACGATGCTGATCCAGTGAGTACTCCATCAAAGGCATACTGTAGGCCTGGCATGTCTTGTCTACTAGCTTCAATATGAATCCGATTAAATGTGATAGGGTGAAGGCCCCAGTGCAGCAGCAACAGCACATGATGGAGACGATGATGAGGAGGAGACCATCTCTCTGGATTCCAGAAGGCATGAGGTATCATGTTAAGACTGTGAAAGTACTATTTACTCTACAATGGTGAGGAGTCCTCATCAAAATCAAAAAATCTAATTTCTTTTACAGGACCCAGATGCTATACAGTGGGAAAACCAGCCTGGCAACATAGTGCGTATTAATAAAAGGACACCACATCCTGCCAAATTCCAGCTGCGCTAATTGTATTGTGTTCACAGAGCTCACAAGCTATCAGAAAGTTGTATGGCAACCACCTCCGGCGCCAAATAGAACTGGCAGACATAGACATTCAGTACAAGAAGAAAAAGATGGAAAATCTTGCACTGGAGTCCGAAATAAAAAAGAGGACAATTAGGAAACTGGACCTTGAAATAAAAAAACTTGAGAGGGAGGTGAGATATGCCTTCAATGTACACTGTATGCTAACTGTAACACAAATGTATTAATCATTATTTTTCTTTCCTCCCCCAGCTCCAAGAAGATGACACAGCTCAAAATAAAAATTTGGTATATTCTCGTAAAGTCAAGTGAGCCATGACATATGAGCTCTTATTGTGAGCACACAGGACGGTGGCATCTTTCTAAGGTTTTTTTTATTTTCCCAGCAATCAGTACAACCAAGTCATCGTTATAAGGCATCGCCCTCTTTTGCCCACCCCCCCAGCACCAGGTGTGGCCACTAGCCTATATGAAGGCCCAAAATTGTGTGTTCCTTTCTGCTCTGACAATGGCATGCCCATTCGTGCGAGATGTGGTGGATGAAGAAGCACTTGTGCTGAGGAGAGCCTTCAGGCGAGAAAGGGTCTTCAGGGACCGGTTGGACCCACTGGCCTTCCCTGATGACCATCTATATGAAAGATACAGGTTTTCTGCAGATGGCATCAGGTATCTATGCAGACTACTGGGTCCCAGGATTAAGCACCGCACTGCACGGAGCCATGCACTGAGTGTGGAGCAAATGGTTTGTGTGGCCTTGCGCTTTTTTGCTAGTGGAGCCTTCCTGTACTCAGTGGGGGATGCAGAACAGCTGAACAAGGCCACAATTTGCCGCACAATAAGGAGTGTGTGTCTGGCTATCAAAGCATTAGCAGATGTCTTCATCTCCTTCCCTGGCCACAGAAGACTCTGTGACATCAAAGAGGAGTTCTATAGGATTGCAGGTAAGAGGATCTACAAATTACAGGACAACTGTTAACAAATAGTAGGATACTCATTACTTTGTGTGACAGGTTTCCCCAATGTCATTGGTGCAGTGGACTGCACACACATAAGGATAAAAGCCCCCTCAGGTGCCCATGAGGCCGATTTTGTGAATAGGAAATCCTTTCACAGCATTAATGTTCAGGTGAACATAACTTTTTGATATTGTCCATTGACGAACACTCTGCATTGCCAGTGATGTGCATTGATTGGTGTAATATTCCTCATCTTATGATTTCAGATGGTCTGCAATGCTGACTGTGTGATCAGCAATGTTGTGGCAAAATGGCCTGGCTCAGTCCATGACTCCAGAATCTTTCGGGCCTCTGAAATCTATCAGTGCCTATCACAAGGTAAGCCACACAACCCCTATTTATAACCATCATGGCTGTGTCAAGAATATCACTGTGTTTATGAGGTAGTAATGATGAGATTTTGTGTTGACAGGTGAATTCTCTGGTGTGTTGCTGGGAGACAGGGGGTATGGCTGCCAGCCTTTTCTCCTGACACCTTTCACAGACCCCCAGGAAGCACAGCAGGCCTACAACCATGCCCATGCCAGGACCAGGGCCAGAGTTGAAATGACCTTTGGCCTCCTGAAGGCACGCTTTCACTGCCTTCACAAATTGAGGGTCAGCCCTGTTAGGGCATGTGATATTACTGTGGCTTGTGCTGTCCTCCACAATGTGGCCTGCCTGAGGAAGGAGAGGGACCCCAGAGTGCCACCAGCCATGGACTGGGACAATCCGGCAATCTTCCCTGATGACGACAGTGGTCGGCTGCTGAGGGACCAATATGTGTTGAATTATTTTAGTTAGTATGTGTGCTTTCAATTTTGGTTAAATATGTCCTGCGGTGGCAGAGGAATTTGGGTTTTTTTGGGTTCGTTTTTTTACGAATTTGGCCTCTTATGATGTTTGTGCGGTATACTGTGTGTAATACAAGGCTGCAGGGAGGCTACTGCATCCATTCATTTGTCTGTTCAGTTGATGTGTATGGATTTGTCCTGCATTTATTTTAGTGTGCAGACATGCAGGGTGTGTTATATACAGACCTTTGAATGTGTATGTATCATTTTGTATAATATGCTTGGATTCTGTGCTTTCCATCTTGTAGAGTCACTGTGACTTCAGTTTCGAAAGGAGCTGATGGTTTACCTGCTTTGTTTTGTCCTTATTCAATAAAGGAACATAATGTTACACATTGTGTTTTTATATTCATATGGAATGTGTATTTGTTTATATGACAGAGTACTAGGGCCACACTGAAGAAAAAGGATAAAGTCATAAATTTATGAGGCTGGTTCTTTCTGCAGAAAAGCTACATATTGTTTTTACAGTTTTGATACTTATGACAATGTGATACTTCATATTCTGGCACATCAGCATGTCTTTGTTTATGAAACCATACTGAAGTACAATTTCACAATGCCCCACATCTGTCATTTTAACAACTGTCCTCCCTTAAAACAACTGGTTACAATATTATGACTTGTGTTTTTTTCCCCTCTGTGGCCCTAATATTCTATCATTTTATATATAGCCTTATAGTCTATGGGAAACTGTAAATTATCTAATGATAGCAACATCATCTAAAAATCATTTTTTATCCAAAATCATTGAAATTAATGATCACAAACGTTTAAATAATGACAGTGGGTCTAGTTATATGTGATAACAATGTATAGTGAGCAGTGAAATAACTATTGGTTTCCATTTGTGGTGACTGCTGACTGACAGTAGGGATGAGATTAAATAGATCCTGGAATTTAGCCTGGTCTGGAGCAGGCTAGCTCCACAGAATAAATCTCCATGGTAATTTATACCATAACATATCCTCCTGCCCCCTATCCATCTTTAGTGCAACCGGATTACGGATCAATTGAGCGAGGATCACCAAGATATCCTGGCTTAATCCCTTATCCTAGTTTTGTGCAACAGGCCCCAGGTCCCATTAATTTGTTTATTTTCTAACGCTTCCGCGTGGAATTATTACATTGTCTTAAAGCTGTATTTTTGGTCGAAAATATACTGTAATGCCAATGCCAAAACCCTGGATATACAACCATTTTCTTTAGGAATGTAGTGAAGTAAAAGTTGTCAAAATTATAAATATTAAATAAAGTAAAGTACAGATACCCCCAAAAAACTACTTAAGAAGTACTTTAAAGTATTTTTACTTAAGTACTTTACACCACTGCATGCAGCTAGAGTTAGGGTTAGGGTACCGTGTAACTATGTTTGTCCTCTGTAGTTGCATGCCTTTCTTTCTTTGCTGAAATCCATACTTTTTAATAAAACGTTAATCAAATAGAACCACCGACTGTTTCCATGTTGAGTTTCAATTGGCACATGCGCATTTGCGCTGAGTTGCCATCTTAG